CCCCCCCCCCCCTCACAATTGTACTCATGTGTGCACAGATATGCAAACTATTCAATCTGATTAATTCCAGAGTAAATGGGATTACAATTTGTTATTTAGAAAGCGTCATTTTAGAAGTGACTTATCCTTTGCGTGATAATTTAATATACAGGAGGGAAATAGACTAGAAATGTTCCAATGAGAGTGGCTTTGTGAGTATGTCAGTTCAGTGTACTTTAGGCAGTACGTTTCGGTTAAATAAAGGATTTCCTGAAACCTATTTTGTTTAAAGGTATTCACCATTCACAAAAAAAGACACTAGAAGGAAATTTTCGTGACTTTTATTTCTGTTTATTCCATGAACAGGTAGTCTTACAATGCTAAGGAACAGTATCCAACTCTTAAAGTTTAACAATTCTCCTGAAATGATTCCTCTATCCTTACACAGAGTATTAAAGGCAAAAATATGTTTCATTAAATATTGATTTCTACAACTTGTGCCCACTGGACATATAAGAACTGCGTCCCACTGCCTAACACTTTGTTTCACTTGGCGTGAATGCAAAATTAATTTTATTAGGGCATTGAAATCAAGTGTCTGATAAACTTCATATAAGTGTGACTCCTCGATATTCTAGCCTGCTTTATGACTTAAGGAATGAGAGGAATGTATCAAACTATTCTGCAAATAGAACTTTGCATGGACTTAAGTCCAGTTACCTTAAATACAAGCTGTCCCTCTGGCCGGTAGTGTTTTCAAGATCCTACCGGCTAGAGGGACAAGATCATAGAAAACTGAAAATATTTAACTGTAGAGTGATTCTAGTGTAGTATAAAACTAAAGAATAATGTATCAAATTATTCTACAAATAAAACTGTGCATGGACTTGAGTCCAATTACCTCATACACGAGCTGTCCCTCTGGCTGGTAGTATTTCCAAGATCTTACCAGCCAGAAGGGCAAGATCACAGAAAACTGAAAATACTTAACTGTAGAGTTAATCTAGTGTAGTATAAAACTAAAGAGCAATGTATCAAA